TTGCTCAGTAATATAAACACTGTGCATATAATTTGGTGGCAATAATTACCAACCACCCTCTTGTTCATGCAGAGATGATAAATTAAGATAACATTTTTATTGACACTAGAGTGTATTGGATTACATTTACATCATGCTCAGGGCAGAATTGCTTTTCCTTGGGTAGGACCGAGTAAAAGAAAAGCAGACTGGGGATTTACTGTTCCAAAAAAAGAGACCGGAATATATGAAATTCCAGGAATAACATTAAAAGAATCCATCTGAAGGAAGTGATTAACCAAAATTATAAAACTTAATGGTACCTCAGAGACGAGTGACAATAAGTAGGACTTTACGCATTCAAGAAAGTTTCTCTGTTTCCTGTAAGAAACGCGCAGATGATGTGTAAGGATTTATTTTTACCACTGTCCTAGAGGCAGCGCGGATGTGTGAACTTGTGAAGTTCATGCACACTGTTTCTCGCCAACAAAATTCACGCTGTGTATAAACATTTTTAAAGACATTCTCTGTTAGTCCGTTCAACTCATTTACATTGACAGTGAAGCTTGAAGATACAAACATGACGCTACGAAATTTACTGGACAACATAAATTTGTACAAGGAACTGTTCTTTTATATTGTTCAAGGTAGGCTACATTATGCCGAAAATGACTGCAAGAAACGTATCAATGTTATAACAAGCTTATATATACATAATGTACCATTTTTAAGAGGAGCTCAGGTAGCGTAGTCGGTATAGCCAGTGGCTACGGGCTGGACAAGCAAGGGGTCGGATTTCAAGTCTCGGTAGGGACAAGATGTCTGCCGTCTTCAAACCGTCCAGACCGGTTCTGTGGCCCACCTAGCCTCCTATACAATGTGTACCGCGGTCTCTTTTCCGGGAGTAAAGCAGCCGTGGCGTGAAGCTAACCGCTCACCTCCAATTAGTGCCAAGGCTGAGAATACGTGGATGTATACATCGACTCCCCATACGGCTTCATGGCGAAATGCTTAATTAGTGGAGCACGGGAACACCTTCTTTACCATTTTTAAGAGGAACAATTTTCGATTGAATATACAAAAGCAGACTTTAGCTTCCTGTAAATAAGAATTATATTGCCCAGATCCAGATCAGCATGAAATTCGCCCTACACACTTTAGCGTGTTCCCCCCGGTACGGAATTTGTTTCGAACCGGTTGAGCGGTTCCAAACAGACAGTCGGGGAGACAGTTGGGCAGACAAGTATTCAGTATCCATAAGAATGTCACTGGAAGGCACAAAATGTAATTCTTCAACAATGTGCAGTCGCGACAATTACAGTCAGATGAAGATTGTGCATATGCAAAGAACAGCACAGGGTCTGAAGGAAGCTATAAGTTGGCAACCCTTTTTACTTTTTATTTCGCTTAGTGGGGGGTGGAGTCTAACTGGGTCCACTAGGCACGGCGGCCGCTGACTGGACTATTGTAGCCTGTCCCGCGTGATTATGATGATGGAAAATTCGGTGGAATGAAGACTGGCAGGGGAAACCGAAGTCGTCGGAGAAAACTCGCCCCAGCGCCACTTTGTCCACCACAAATCCCACTTGACAAGACCCAGACTTGAACCCGGGCCGCCGCCGTGGGAAGCCAGCGACTAACAGCTTGAGCTATGGCTCGGCCTTTGCAACCCTTACCATGCGTACAAAGTTCCTGTACATTTCCTAACACGCTTGTGGATATGATAGCGAAACGAATATGACTGGTATGAAGAATCAGGTTGCTGCTGTCCAAATAACTTGGGTGTTCAGTTCAGTACTAATGGTACAGTAGAATTCTGAGTCATGGAAATGCCTGTGGTTTGCTCTGAATCTGAAGTCTGAGGTTTATATTCACATTTAAAGCAGCTTTTCTATCAATATCATTTTGAATACAACCTTCCACAGCGTGGCTAATACAAGGTAGCACAAAGCCTTCCTCCGTAGGGATTTGTATACACTGGCGTCCCGTAGGATTCCGAATGGTATATAATTGATTTTACTAATCTTGTTATTAAATAACGAGAATTTGATATTTATGTATAAAATGGAAAGTTCTTTTCATAGGTATGATGCTATTAAGGTAAAGTTGTCCCTGTACTTAACTAATTAAACACTACGCCATTAAGGCGTATGGGGGAGTGGATGAATAGATCCACATTTTCTTGACCTCGGCACTAGTTGGAGGTGAGTGGTCAGCCTTACGCCCTTGCCGCCTTACCCCCGGGGAAATAGGTCCCCGTGCTCATTGGATATGATGCTGGGTGCGACCCAGAGCCGGGTGAACGACGTTGAGAAGACCCGTAGCCAGTCGCTGTACCGACTATGATGCTGATAATTATCAGCATTATATGATAATTATCGATTATAATCGATTATAAAACCATACATTTGAACACTTAACGAGGACGTTTCGTTACATTGATTAAATTCTTCCTTAAAATAACATCCCTGACGGAATAGACTTGGACCACTGTGTATTAAATTCTGCATAAGTTGTGGGAACATTTACGAGGAGTTTATGTGGAATATTTTCGTGCATGGGTTGTGAATGATTGGCGTAGTGCGATCCACAAAAATTTCCCGTAGCGTAGAAGACGGAAGCTGAACTATTAATGATGTAATGCCATCAAAACTTCTTGCATATTCGACCTCCACCCACATAGTTGCCATGTCATCAAAGTGTGCGTCAAACCGCCGCGTGAGTAGGAACACCGACAGAATACACATGCCGAACATCATGAGAACCGACACTAAGGAAGACCGTCAAAGAAGAATACAGTGAGTACAGTTACTTTGTCCCTGTGCTTAATTAACCAAACACAACGCCATGAAGACGTATGGGGGAGTGGAGGTATATCTTCACCTTTCTTGACCTCGACACTACATGAAGGTGAGTGACCAGCTTCACTCCCCAGCCGCCTAATCCCCGGCGAAAAGGCGCCCGTGCCCATTGAACAAGGAGTTGGACTGGCCTCAGGGCCGGTCTAAACATTGTGGACAAGAGAGAAATTTCTTGCTTCTGCCGGAAATCGAACCCCGGCAGTCAAGTACGCAGCCCGTCCCTATAAGGTAGAAGATAAAGTATTAAGTACTACGCCATGAAGACGTATGGGGGATCGGATGTAAAAACCCATGTTTACTTGTGACAATAGTTGGAGGCGAGTGGTCAGCTCCACGCCCCGGCTGCTTTACACCTAGGAAGGAACCCCTGGTACCCAATGGATAGGAGGCTGGGTATATACAAAAAATACTTGTAATTTTTAGTATTAATATTTGAAACATTTCTTCTTTCCTTTCAATGATGATTATTTTTTAATCCAGGGGTAAGTTCCCTTCCTCCGCCCCCACGAGCGCGACTTCTATAGTGAGACGGGTTCGCGCATAGCACGGCAAATTACTCGTATTTCGTCCGAGTTTAGGCCTAACAGGAGTAAGACATGTGTGGGCATTATTTCACACGTGTATAAAAGAATTCTGAAATATTTTACACATTCCGGGGGGCGAGGTGATGAACTTGGGCACTCTCCTGTGAAACCTAATATATCTGGGAATAAGGGAATACTTTTTTTGGCTTCCTCCCTACTGTCGCTCGTCTACTTGTCCTTCTATGTACTCGTATTTTATTTGCCCATAAAATTCTGCTTCTCACTGCTCCGTACAGTGATATAAATATTTTCAATTATACAAAGTTCTCTCTCCCCTGGTCGCTTGTCAGCGTTGTATTTCACTATGATTCCAACTCAGAACATTAACGGAACACAGTATCAGAACCTTGGAAACGGAAATAAATTTTTGAGCCGTACCCCGCTGCAACTCGGCCTCACTGTAAATCAAATTCAAAGAGTGAGTGTAATTACTAGTTGATGCGTGTCACCTTGACGCACTTTCTTGGGTACACACACAAAAATAAACATAAATATGCAATCATATGCTACAAACATATTTAAGGAGGAAATCTGTTACAAACAAATTCACTACAATTAAACAGCAAAATAACCGCATTTTGTAGCTTGCTATAGCAGTTCTTTTTCACATGCTGCATCCTGTCCGTGTCACCTTAACAAACAAATCGTGATAATATTTGTATTTCGGAGGTATCCTTAATTATTTCGCCACAACCATCATAAGGTGAGTGGACACTACACAGCTTTCAAGGTCCACAGCTATCCTACAGTGGATCAACTGACACAGTCTAGCGTTGGATCCATCGCTACATTTAAAATGAACTATGCAAACGATGGTAATAAAATAACAGACACAATTAAAAGAGATAAAAACACTTAACTATTGCAGGATCATGTAGTGAAATGAGAGGTGCCAGTATTGTAAGTTCTGTGTGTGTAAAAGTAACAACGTAGAAAGCGAATTTGTTCAGGATCATTGGAAGTTAAAAAAGTCTTGAAGTAGAAGAACGACGAAGCTTAAAATATTTATGGCACTATGCTGAAGCTGTTCAGGGATGTCTCTGTTTGGTATATACCGAGGTGTGTTTCGGTGGATACTGCAGTGTAGGAGGTGAATGGTAAGCACTGGGGCTGCGAATCCGCTGTTGAAACTGACATCTCTGCAAAATAAGTTTTGTTGAATTGGAATGGTCCTTGTATGAAATTACATTATGTATCACACGGCACAGAGTGTTAGATCACCAACAGTTTCCCCTTTACACGATCAGCCGTGTCTCCGTTGGTTTCTTATTAGCGTTTGATGATTAATGGGAATCCTCTGGAAAGATGACTGATGCACTGCTAGGGAAACAGGGGAAAACTAACTCCACGCAAGCCCACAATCTCGTGGCCCAATAGGGCATGAACCAGCTTCGTGGCGTGATAATCGCTCAATTACCATATAAGAATATAATCCCTCATGTAGATATTGATATATTTACACTGTGCTGACGTATCAGTCATCCTAGTTTGCGTGACGTGAGTCACCGGCGTAAAGTTTAGTTTTCAGAGAATGTAAAATTTTCAGTTCTGTGTAAATATAGAAAAAGGTACTTACATATAATTCCATGTGTCGCTGAAATCGACGGCGGAATCTCATTCACTCTTTCAGGTCTATCTCTTTGATAATCGTAATAAAAATACAGCAGAAATGTCCACTATTGTGTAACACTATGATGAAATAAAACTGGTTTAAAGTTAGTAATTATTAATCGTGGTTAAATAAAATATAATTGCCAAGTAACTGGTATACAGAACTGAAATGTTTGACAGTGCCGCGCACTGAAAACCCGACCAGGCGCACTCAGTCAGCCACCTGTCAGTGCATCCGAAGTACTGACTCAACGCGTTTGATTCTTGTCTGGCTTGCTCATGGATCGCTCACGGATAGAGCCAACTGCCCGTGGCTGGCATGGCTGGCATCACGGTTACGCATACAAGATACCCTGCTTTGAAGCGACAGTCTCGAACTCTACGGCAGGAATTTGAATCATGGTTTGTACAAATAGTTCGTAGATGGCAGTACAAAATGTGATCATATGTAGTATTATATTAATTTGGTATAGGAGCAATAACTATAAAACAGACGGCATTACAAATGTCAATCAAAATTTCATATAATATTTTATTTACAACTTATTAAATTTTCATTACTCCAGTGTCATTTTCTGTTTTGTAATGACGGTATAGAGGTAGATTAATAGGGTTCTTAACATTAAAAATTCCTATACATTAAGGCATAATTTTAAAATATTATAAAAATTTGCATTTATGTTATATTCAGTAAAGAGTTTAGTGGTTTAAATACGTGTTTAAATACTTTACAAAAATGTTATTCCAACAGGAACTCGTAGCGCCATCTATAATAATAGTTGCAAGCGGAAGTGAATGCATGTAGCCTTCTTTCCACGAGGATTTCGTCAAGATGCAGAAGGTTTGATTTTTAAGATATATAGTATTGTAATTTGGCTTAATGATGATACAAGCTTAATGACCGTTTTTTGAATATTTTCAGCCTACAAAGGAACCCATCCAGTCCGTGCAGGTGTTCGGAAGGAAGGTAATGTTATTTATTTGGATTGTTTCGGTTTGATATGCACACAGCATTGCAGATTTTAGTAAATTGGATACATTTGTGCATTAGTTTTTGACATGTATAGAAGAGTGTAATTTTAATTATTTTTTCTTACTAGAAAAGTGCAACTGCTGTTGCTTACTGCAGGAGAGGAAATGGCAATCTTAGGGTAAATGGTCGACCGCTTGAGATGGTAGAACCCAGAGTACTGCAGTACAAGCTACAAGAACCTGTTCTGCTTCTAGGGAAGGTGGGCCTGTTTTATTAAATATTTGTTGTGTTTTTTTAATTACTGTCGCATATGTACGACAGTTACTATTTAATTTTCATGCAACTCTGATCTGAAACTGCAGTTCTAGGTGGCATGTTGATGACTAAGAAGTTGGACAATTGTAACTTACATTCTTTTATCGTTATAAGTAAGGCAGCGTGAATGTAGTGTAGAGACGAGTTCTCATCCACATTCATCAGTTTCGAACGTATTTTTGAGTTATGTGGCTAGTGGTTTGCCATTGGATCACAATCCTTTCGTGTCACTAGTAGGAATATTTGCTTTTCTGTGTGTTCACCATTTCTTTAGTTTTACTTGCTGAAGCACATAGGTGCCATCTTAGGAAAATGGTATCTGTGCCATTTTGAATTTGCAATTTGTATACTTATTATGTTGTATTTGTGCTCGATTAATTTTGGGATTTTTTATCAGAGTTCTTTTAACGATTAAAAGGGAACAGTAACAGTTCAAGTTGTGTTTTATGCTGGTGTAGGGTGAATTCATTGGTTATGTGCAATTTCTTGAAACTTTGTGATAGGGACTCAGTGTTGTAAATCATCAGTAAGATTTGAAATTGTTCTGAGCTGTATATGATGGGCAAAGAGTTCGTCAGTATTTACCCATGTGAGTCTTATTTGGGTTTATTGTACACTGTATATGAATTAGTTCCCTTAAGTAGTCATATTTCCTCTAGCAGCTGTATGAATGATGTCCATTTTTAAGTGTTACTGTTGTAGCCTGCTTCACCTTTTGTGCTGTGGAATCTATGCCTGCAAGAGGGTGTTCATTCTTGGGAACTGGTAGTTATCAGCACCGACTAGTGGTAGGGAATAGGGAAGATGTGACAGCAGGTTGATAACATTCTTTTCTAGTAAAGGAGACCAATGAACTTACATGTCTGAATGGAGCATCATGCCATCGAGATCCGCAGGAGTGAGGACATTTATGGCAGATGCCTTTTCACATAGTCTTTTGTTGTGTCTTTCCAAAATGATGCCCTAACTATGAAAGAATGGCCTCAATATATTATTCTACTCTAAGGAGTATGCTTAAACCATTTGGTACCTGGATAATGAGTGTGACATTCCTTGGGTTATTACAGACTGCTTTGTATGTGGTTTCTCAAAGATTTCATGGAATTAGTGCCCATACATGTGCATGATGGGAGAAATGATTCAGAATGGGATTGCATGTGCCGTGTAATTGAGGTAATTGACTTGTTTACAGACCTTCAAGATCTGTGGAATATGGGGAAGAAGTTAAAGGTCTTCCTTGCATGGTTCTTTTTCCAGTGATTGTTGGTTCTCCTTGAAATATCTAAACTGTTTATTCAGCTTGACCCATGAACTTGTTCCTGGAAACTTCTGTGATAAGTTCCTGTTTCTAAGAATGTCTTAGTCATACATAAAACTTAATATACACTTTTCAAATTGTGATATTCTCATGCTCAGATTCTGAAAACAGGAAAATTTGCCCAGCCTCACAGACTGGTGTCTTTCATGCTATCTGTGCATTGAGTTTATATGCCAGAATGAGTCTGCCTCTACTTGCCCTGCATACCCACACATCCTCTGACAAAACTACTGCATTTTTTGCTCGCTGTTGATAAAGTTCACAAAATTTTTGCCCCTACTACATAAGACCACACAAAAAGTAAAAGGAAGAATAAACGTATTGACCTGTAAACAATTATCCTTTTACATTTACAATTATTTTCACTTCATGGATCCGATCATCTCCCTGTAGGACTGGATATAAAACATGTCACATGACAAATTCATGATGAATACACATCATACACATCCTTGGTCCAATAAAGTATATAATCAGGCCTCACGCAGACAGCACAGGTTGTCAAGACAACACACCTAGGCCATGGAAAAACCACTGTCAAATTCACACCTTGCCATTCCACACACACTGGCAAGCCATATCAATACAGTTTCATTATAACATATTAAAATTCATAACAAACACAGATGTCATACGTACTGCCACACTTACAACAAGCAAGCCTCAACAATGTATAATACAAGCACACAGACCATTTATTTACTCTTAACGTTTGAACCCCTTGCATGCTCGACAAATTCATCAATAGAGCAAAATGAGTTACTTTGCAAATAATTTTGTAAAACAAACCTAAATTTATTTTTATCATTTTTTAAAACAGGTATCTGATAGCAGAGAGTTAAATAGCTTGATGACTGAATAATACACCCCTCTCTGATAGGATGATAAATGTGTTGTAGTTATGCGAAGGTGGTCATTCCTTCTGGTACCAATCATATATACAGAGTTATTGGTTTGAAACTTATCCAAATTATTAACAACAAATGTCATCAATGAGAGCAAATATACACATGGGATTGGCAGTATGTCAAGCTTTTTAAATAAATCTCTACATGTATGAGTTGGGCCCACTCCCATCATTATTCTTATTATTTTCTTTTGTATAACAAAGACCTTGAGACTGTCTGATGTATTTCCGCAATATATTCCATATTTTTCTGATGAATGATAATATGCATAATATACAGTTTTAAGACTATTAATATTTAATATATAAGATAATTTTTGCATTAGAGAACCAACTGTGCTCAACTTGTGAAGCAAAAAATTGATATGTCCCTTGCAAGTCAGATGATTGTCCAGCTGCAAACTGAGAAATTTTGTCATTTCTACTTCTTTCAGCATTTTGTTAAAAAACAATGTATATAGAGGGTAGCTAGTAGCTGCTGTTGGGGTGAATTTTATCATTTTTATTTTAGCCAGATTTACCACAAATTGGTTATTTTGAACCCACGTAAACATATGAATAAAAACAACATGCAGTTTTATTTTTAAATTATAGTAGTCTTTAAAAAAAATAAAAAAAAAATAAATTTTTAAATTATAGTAGTCTTTCTGACAAAACTAATGAACACCATATATGAAAGTGGAGAGTGGCCCAAGGACTTTACAGAAGTTACAGTGATTGCATTAAAGAAAAAGACAAAAGCTACAAAATGCAGCGACCATCGCACAATAAGTCTTATTGCACATACAGCAAAGATAATAGCAAAGATACTTAAAAGAAGAATTGAAAGGAAAATAGAGGATGTACTTGGAGAAGATCAGTTTGGATTTAGAAGAGGAAAAGGAACCAGGGATGCAATTGGGATGATGAGAATTATAGCGGAACGAACTTTGGAGATAGATGAAGNGGATTTGTATAGTTATAGTTAGCCTGTTGTTTATGGAGTGATGAATTTTTGTGTGTGACTGTGCTTAGACTTAATTTTTTCCTTCCTTGTGATGTATAGAAATGATTGAAGTTTAAGTGGGTTATTCACATATTCTGTAAAGATAATGAATGAGCTTTCCAAGGAAAGTACAAATGAGCATGTTTATGCTTGATACTTTTATGAGAATGGGTGTGCAGATGTTGTAGCCTTTGTGAAAACAAATCACCTTGGTATGAAAATGTGGTATTGTGAATCATTACCAATGATGAGCCTTTTATCCCGAAATTGATCATTTATGATATGAAAGGTTAAGACTCTGAAGTGAATATCATATTTATTGTTTACATCATGTATTTTGACAGATTTTAGGTTATTGAACAATTTATTACTCACTTTCAGGAACGGTTCTCTGGTGTAGACATCAGAGTCAGAGTGAAGGGTGGTGGACATGTCGCCCAAATTTATGCAATTAGACAAGCCATTTCAAAGGCATTAGTCTCATACTACCAGAAGTGTAAGTAGAACTGTAAAACTATGTTTGTTTCAGTTTGCAACACTGCTGTAAATCAATTGTAAAATGTTGGATTTAAGGCTTTCATGGCACAGTGACTGTGAAAAATACTACCTTCTGGATGTAATTCTGTGTAGTTGGGTAGAAGTAACCTGACATTCTGGTGGAACATACTGGCACCTTCTTCAGGGATGAAGAATGAGGCAAGCAAGAAATGACAGAAAACAGGTTTTGGTTCTATGGGGCATAACATTTTGGAAATAGTATTCTTCACATTGAAAAATTATTATAAACTCTATTGACATGGCATAGTTACTTCAGCCATATGGCGATTTTTTTTAACTCTACTGATATCAGAGAAAGCAGTCCTGTGATGTAATCCTCTCCACATCTCCTTCAAGCTGTTGCTCTTCTCCCTACACCCTACTTTCCTGTATTCTCCTCTAGTCTAACCATTCTGCCATGAGAATGTTGGTGAACTTCACTGCTGGAAGGTGTTAGGGCTAGTTGACATGCCAGAGGGCGCTAGGTGAGAATCCAGAAATACCAGGTAGAGAGGACATATCCTTAAGTGCTGTTATCCCCACCATCTATTGCTACAGTGTAGATGAAACTTGTTCTGCGTGTCCCCTCTTGTACTCCCTTCACATATATTAGATTATTCTCAGCAATGTGTGATGTGAGGTTTCCATGGCAGTGATGAGGAAGAGTGTGTTGTGATGTATGTAGATGTTTAGGAACTTTTGGAGAAGATTCACAGTATCAATTTAATTAAAGTCCCCCTTTAAAGTTCTTGTAGAAGTGAAAGATGGGGTTGAGAGCACAATACTTTTATGGATATAGATAGACTTCTCAGTGAGCTGTGCTGCGCCAGTATTGCCACTCGTGTTGCCCAAGTAATTGTATTGTTATTGTGTTACATTTGGTACAGTTTATTTAACATCAAGCTTTAAAAACCTAGTGCAAAGGCAACATCACAGTAATAAATGCATATGTAGTGTGGCTATGAAACAAGTGCATAGACAGATATAATTTTGCAGGTGGGCATGGGCCATGAATTTTTTAATGCTTGTGGATACCACTCTTCTGCAACAGCTCTTTGTATTTTAACCTGTTAACCAATACGTGAAAGTTAATGTATTGGAAGCAGCTAACACAGAATCATCATTGTTATTCAGTTCACATTATAAAAATGAAGTGATGTAATGTGATGTTATGGCAGTACTGTTGCACTGTATGGTTATTTTAGGCATTAAATGGATGCCAGACAATGAAATGGTGACTGTTTACTATGCGTTAAATGTTTTCCAAAGTAATAGCAGTGTACATTCACAGCTTGTATATGTGACTCTCAGGCATACACTGGCTCTTGTAAGCTTGTTTTACTCGTTATTGTATCAGGACATTTTTGTTCAAGATAATTATATAGATTGTAATGACATTTTAAAATAGAAGCACCATAGTTGCATTAGAGACAGAAACAAGTGGACAAGTGCTATACAGATCAATTGGTTGTTAGCTTATGTAATAAAGCTATATTGACTGCAGTCTGTGGAAGAAATAAGGGTGATAAGATGAAATGGATGATTTGGAAGCATAATGTATATGCATTCTTTATTTTCAGATGTGGATGAAGCATCAAAGAAGGAGATCAAAGATATTTTGATCCAGTATGATCGCACATTGCTGGTGGCTGATCCCAGGCGTTGTGAACCCAAGAAGTTTGGTGGCCCAGGAGCCCGTGCACGTTACCAGAAGTCATACCGTTAATTTGGTTATGTATGTGTCTGGTGTTTCATATATGTCTTAATAAATATATCTTGAAAACAAGTTTAATGTGTATGGCCTTTTCTTCGTACTCACCACATACAAAGACAATCTTGTTATCATGTTTACGTTTAATGGTGCTGAAAAGGGTTTTTTTAAACATTGCAGTTATTTGCATAGAGTTGTTTTATTCTCCATATTGTGACACGCTGAGCTATGGATGACGCCCCTCCCCCACCCCCCGCCAGCCGTGATGCGCCGAGCGAAGCCGAAGCGAGCCGATGTTAGCCGAGTCCTAGCATCCTGGTCGCTAGGCAACGCGAGTCAACAGCGGTAACGTCACCAAGTAGTAACAGCAGTTACTTCCGCTAGCGTTACTAGCAACACAGCGCCAGGCAACAAGGGTGCCTATTACGTGGCTGTTTTCCGTATTGTCCAATCGAGGCTACATAAGGAGCAGAGAAGGCTATTCACAGTCAGTTAGTCCTGGAGCTACCACCGAGTGAGTCCTCGAGCTACCTCCGAGTTAGCCAGCAACCAGTCCGTTGTCTTGTGGCATTTGGAGTGCACTATTTGTGATACTGCAGATAGCAGTAATTGTAAATCTGTAATTTGGGTGATTGTAGGTGCGAATGTGAAATAAGATTCGCTATATAAAATACGGCGTGAAGTTATTTGTCGCGTTATACGCCCGATACGCGACAATATTATAATGTGTGTTTATGTGTTTAAATTACTAGTCCATTTTTCCTTGCTCAAGTATTTTATGGATTTTGCCTTTCAGGATCTGAGAATTGTAACTTAGTCTGGTTTGATATATTTGATGACCTACAGTTTAATGTTCATTCCTCAGTGGATGACACCAAGAACCTCTTGTCAAATTTAAATTACAGGTTCAAGTAAAGTTAAGTTAAGTTGGTTACCCCACCACATTTTTTTTTTTCAGTGAAAATTTTCCAGCAGCATGTTTTAACAAAATGGGTTAGCACAGTGGTAATGTTCTTGAGTCATATTGTAGCATATGGACCTGTTATTGGGCAGAGAGCTATGCTATGCAGTAGGCAGGTAAACAGACTCCCATTTCTAAGAAAGTCAGTAAACATGTTCTTGCTGAAACGATATCCAGTGTGCTGCTAGGCAGCCGCACATGACAACAGTAGAATAATTCTTGGAGGAGGAGGTTTTCTGTTGTGCCTGCCCAGAGGTTGTATAAGGAGGATACCAGCTGAGCTGCAGTTAAAAGAGTCTTCAGCAGTTCAGTTGAGTGAAATGACATAAAGTAGCTTGGTGGGTGGGAGAGTTCAGTTGAAAGTCTGCCTGTGAAGACAAGACTAGGAGGTTCATGTGAAATGGCCACCAGCCTGGGAGCCAGGTAGTTGAGTTGTCGGTTAAGAGGCAGTTCTGTGCAGGTGTCTATGATGACATAAGTGTGGGAAGCAGAAGAATCTCCACTGTGAAAAGGCTAATGGAAACTATAACAGACTGAGGACATTAGTCTGTGTATATCAGTGATTTGTAAATCTTATGTGGTCAATAAATCCTATTCATACCTTGTCTGTAGTCACCCTCATAAATATATGGCAGGATGTGGAGGTGTCAGTTTCTTGGCTAGGACACCAGCTACCGCGATGTGTGTTTGCATGGTTGCTGCAGGCCCTCCAGGAAAATTCCAGAATAGTACCATAGTTGGGCATCATTCCTGTTTTTGTTATCATTCAGTGCTCTATAGTCAGTATAGCAGTAGTGCTATAAAATTATCCATAAAGAAATTGTTTGAAGCTCTTTTTGCCATTTCCTACAAATGTGCATTTTTATATCAGCTACAAGTTTGCATTGTTTTATATGTTTACTTATTGGTATGTTATAATCTTCATTTTACAATTCTCTGAGCTTTGTTATTCTAACAAAAATGCGTATTTCATTTGTTTTACTGGTTATGTATTATTTACCAAAGATTTTTTAAGGTGCTGCTATACGTACCATATTTTTAGTTTATATACAGTTTAAGCATTGCAGAAATATGTTCCCAGATGAAAATCAAATTTCTAAATTAACCTAAAATTTTAGCACATAGTCAGCCATCAGCAAAAGGGAATATTTATAATGAGCATGCATCAGAATGAAGTTTCAGACATGTTTGGTGATTGGTTGAAATGCCATTTAATACTGAAAAATTATTCTCATATATTTTTCTGTTGCATATGATATTCAACATTTTAATCTTTGTCCATGATTTATTCCAACCGTCTTACAGTGCATACATTTATTCACCTTACTCTTCTCTCTTGCACTACATGTTTCAGCACAAAAGTGCCATCTTCAGGTGCTTTTCGATGTACGTCAAACTACTTCATTGCATGCCCTGTTGTCTTTATACTAAAATAACTAAAATATATATATTCGTCATATATATTGATATACCCCGCTGGGTATGTGTGTGACACATACCCAGCAGGCCCAGCGGTATAACACACGCAGTCACAGGAGCAAGACACAACACAAAGCACAATACACACACGAGAGTAGGAAGANCACCTGAAGATGGCACTTTTGTGCTGAAACATGTAGTGCAAGAGAGAAGAGTAAGGTGAATAAATGTGTGCACTGTAAGATGGTTGGAATAAATCATGGACATGAATCAGTGCAACAGGACGCTAAAATATAACATTTTAATCTTTTCTTAAGTAGGGGTGATGTCTGAAAGTGGGAAGTTTCTGAATATACACAAAATTCATTCAGATTGCACACTTTGGACCCTGAAGATGAAGGCATCATGTACCTTCAAAGTGCTGGCAACATTATCCACATACACACAGTGTAACAACCAACGAATGGAATTATCAGCATTTAACCACCATGAAAGCCTAAAATCACTAAACCACATATAAGTTTCATGTCTCTTCCTACAAATATGTGTGGTAATACTAAAAACATAAAAGTAGTCATTGTTATGTCTGAGAACCACATTATGAAAAGGGGAACGTGGAAGTAAAGCTTCACACACATTCTTAACCTCAGGACTGGATGGAGTTTTATAGTAAGTTTCACACTCCTGCATCCCTTCAGTAAGAGCCTGTATGGGACACACAGCTGGTCTGGACATGGAGATGAAAATTTGTTCCTGACATGATATGAGCTTTTGGAACCTCAAAAAAGTTTTTAATAAAGTAAAATTAAAACACATGCTTTTAGATAGAATGAATTTGTGATAAGACTGAGATAAACATCAAACCAAGGGTAAAAAGTAAAGTCCCTGTACTTAACTAACTTATGCCATGAAGGCGTGTGGGAGACTGCATGTATAGATCCACACTTTCTTGACCTCATCACTAGCTGAAGGCGGGTGATCAGCTTCACACCCGGGCCGCTTTACCCCTTGGGAAAGAACCCCCAGTCCCCATTGGGTAGGAGGTTGGGTGTACCCCAGAGCCAGTCTGGACAACGTAGAGAAGAAAAAATACTTGACCCTAACAGGACTCAAACTCTGACCCCCAGTCCAGCATGTAGTCAGTCACTGTACCAACGACTCTACCCAAGCTCCTCAGACCAATGGAATTATGGTTAAAAATAGGTGAAATAAGGTAAAAGCTTCCCCTGCACTGAATTAAGCACCATGCCATGGAAACATGGGAGAGTGGAGGTATGGCTCCACCATTCTTGACCTCAGCACTACTACTGAAATATAGATTTCTCTTATTTAAATGCAGACCAGTTCCTTTCAGTGAACTGTTTAGCTGGGAAAACGAACTGCACGCTTCGACATTATACAACACTGGGAAAATGTAAACAAAATAAGTTACAGGGAAGTTAGAAATTCCTCTCATTCACAATTACAGGCGCACATCTACATGATAAAGGGTTTGTGAGAAACAACATTTTTAGCCTAATAGCATTTTTCATGTTTATCACTTGGCAGGTGAAAAAAATTATGATTAAAGTAGGTTTTGATACTTCATTGATTAAATAATAATACATGTTCAATAATTTGGAGAAAGAGGGATGCAGTAGTAGCTTTCATCAACTAATTATTTGTGCCAACTTCAAAAATAAATTTGTGTTCTGCTAGGAGGGAAGTTTCCAATAATTTCCTTTCATGTTGAATATCAAGTACTGGGATTCCATATACAGTATTTGTATATACGTGTATTGATGTTCTTTTATTGTATGAAAACATAGGAGCACAACAGTATGGAAATCATGTTATAAGCCAGTATAGATTTTAGTCTTGAAATAATGTGAAAGAACATAGTACAAATCAGGAACAACAAATAAATATAAACTATGTTGCAATTTGAGTGCCTGGGAATAAAAGGGACAAAATAAGCCCGCAATAATGTAGGGACAAAAATGAATTCAGAAAGTGCTTGTTATTCAGTTTCATAGGTAAAGTTTCCCTGTCTGAAAGCACCTTGGCTAAGTGTGGACAAGCAGATCCATAAATGGTTATGTTTGTGCATCATCCAGCTTACACCCAGAGAAAAATAATCTTATAAGTGGATGAAGGTTAGTCTTCTGGGATGAAATGGCATGTAATCTGTAGTAGTTTACCAGTGTTTTGGAGGAACTTGCTGCCTACATCTTCAGGGCAGAAGGTACGTCTACCAGAGTACAGAGCATCACATTCCAGAAGACTCTTCATAGTCATTGCTATGAGAACTTCAAATTTCAAGTAGAAGGTTGGCTGGGCATTAGAAAGCCCCTCCAGAGAATCGAACCTTGGCCATCCAGCTCGTCACTATACCAACTGAACTCTTCTGACTCCTAAATGAAGAAGTAGTTGAAGACTAATGGCCTATGAAAATTATGCTTAAGGAAACTGGTTTTTCTTAGTGCATTCAGGCAGTTCAGATAGAATTTAGAGTTCATAATCCCTAATGGGTCCTTATAGAGGAATTAAAACACATTTGATGACACCTTTAAATTCAGTAACATATGTTGTTATATCTATAAAAATATGAAATCGGGTTTTCGTTTTTAACAATGTGACTTGTATATATGCACTTCTCATCCTCGTAACGTGTTACCTAATACTCATGCTTTCGTGTTATACACCTGAGTCCTCAAACTGGCCGTTTTCCAAGAGGTTTCCACACCAGAATTCTGTGTTCATTCCTTTTCTTATTCAGTCTATCTTAGTCCCCAACATTTCACCATCCTGACAATACTCGTACTTAATCAGAGCCAGATGGCAAAGTAATGCAAATAAGCCGTTATTTTTATTGGCAGGATTCAAGTCTATGTGTAAGATTTATGATTCACTTTTGTGCTTCACGTCTATACATTTATTGTTAGGAATATCTTAACGATATACATCATTCGAGCATTTCTAGTCGTCACGCAGTATTGTCACTCTATTCGGGAACAAAACGTATCATACGAGCTCGACGCTGAAGTTTTCTGCAAAACAATAAAGTGTTTACTTGATGAATTTCATGAAATACAATATAATGTAGCGTGGACAGCCGTTTCTATGCAATAGGCTAATAAACAATGGCGTTGTGCAACCCATTTCTAGGTAACGGATCGCTAAACACGTTCCCGCGGGAAAGAATACGAATACAACAATAGAGTTACTGTTGGAAACAATGTTTTCTACTCGGTCCGTGCAAAGTGGTTACAGTGAGGACATTTGGAGTGACCCAGTTCGTTGTAGCATAAGATCTGTCAGTTAGGGGTGATCTGCTCTGTAAAGCCTGTACTGACAGAGGACTTGGGTGTAAAGCAAAAGGAAGAGTTTTCGATAACATATTATATGTGCGAAATATACACTTGACGAAAGGTCGAATGTATTCATAAGAGACAGACCCATCTTCTCGCCAGAGATGATGTTACATAAGGACTATTATCGCAAGAGTTCAGTTGAAAAAAAAATCTCTGGTCGTGGTCCTCAAGGGGCCTGATGCCAAGACGAACTGATTGGCGGTAAACCGCCAGTCGTAAAGTAACTCTGACTCTGATCCAGTTATGACTCTGGCAAAAGACAGAGAGCGCCCCACAATAACAAGACCTAAATTGAAACAGTATTAAATATCTGGTCATAAGCCCCAGATTGTGCTCGACACCAAGACAGACTGACTGGCCGTCAGTCGCAATGTGACTTTGACTTCGACTTCGGCCCAGTTAGTTGTCGGTTAACAGAAGTTGAGAATCGGCAGTCGAGTTCCGGAGTTGTCAGTTCAAAGTCAGCCTGTGGAGAGAAGACAAGGAGGTTGATGAGAAATGGCCGCCAGCTAAGGAGCATTTAATTGAGAGCTGTCAGTTGATAGGCAGCTCTGCACAGGAGGTAGTGAGAATAAGACCTGAGAGCGTGAAGATGATGAACCTCACGTGTTCAAATCCGTTGCCTGGAAACGGTTAGTGAAGACCGTGACTGAGGTCACAAGTCTGTGTATGCTCTGATGATTTGTAAAGTGTGGAGATAGTGGTAGAGCTGTAATTATTTGTAGTTCCGAGCAGTGTGTATAAGTGGTCAATAAATCAATTCTCCAATCCAAAACCTGTCTATAATCACACATAAATCTTGACAATATCTTGAATTGTTCTATCTATCTATGACTGTACAGCCCTTTGTTGGGCCTTGGCCGCTTTTTCAGTTTCGTGTTCTTTTACGTAGGCGGTAGGATCCCTTGGATGGGAGATCACCCTTTTGCAAGGCCGCTACTTGCATACAGGACAATACAAACAGAAGAAACGCACACAGTCATCCATACCTCAAGCGATTTTCGAACCCACGATCCCAGTGTTTGAGCGGTTAAGATAGCACTCTTCTGCGTCATCCTGCATATTTGAATTACCAGGAGAAGAGACTTAATTTGAAAATTACTGTAGGTGCCCACATGCACTATTTTATATATGAAAAACAGGCTGATAATTAAATGCTAGTGAATAAAGCGACCTATTTCTAGATTTTAATACGACGAGTGACTGCTTCAAATATTTTCATGGTGCGGCTACACAATTTATTGCAAACAAATATGGTGCCCAGATTGCATACCGGTTGTGTAAAATCTGAAGGCAGGACTGACGGTATCAGCAAGCCTTTTGTACACAAAATAATCACATTTATCGAAAATAACCGAAACTGTCTCCAAATATAATAATATACTTTTGGAAATTTTTGGATTTTGTGAACAGTTTTCCATGCGGCCTACAGACCCAGCATTTTGTACGACGGAGCTCGGAGCCTCTTCCCATTGATAAAAAAGGTCGGAACATTAGGCTGGCTGTTCCGTCACAAGAGTACAAGAAGTGAGACAACTGCTTCCACCCCTTCTTTAAGCCTTCGTGTTTCTTATCATAAGGATTATTTTATATCAATTTTGCAGACTAATTGGTGGTCTTATTTTCCAGTTCACAATGCATTGCTAGCCGTCCAGCGGTGTCCCCGCCGCAGCAGTTCCCTGGCTGTGATCGGCTAATTCTGTCTCGCCGTTGCACCTCACACACACACACACACACACACACACACACTGTTGCGTCTTGGTTGGGGCGCGTTCGTCGGTCCAGTCGCCAGGCGTCGTTGTGGCAAGCCGGTCTTATCAAACTGACGTTAGGAATTTCTGGGTTGGGCTGCTCGCTGTTCATAATTTTGTTTAGGAGAGTCAAGCGAAGCTGATATGGTTGCTAGTGAATTTTCCGTGCGGATTAACAGTTCCTCGTTTTCATAATCTGCGGAAGATTTTTCATTCGCACTGGATGTGGCTCTGTGATTCGAGGTGACTAACGTGTTCCGGCCCGTGAAGACTTCGCGTGGTTGCAATTGAAGGAGGCACTTCAGAGTTCGTGATTGTGAAGTCTGAAGGTAGGGGGTATGGCAGTGATTTTCTGTATTGTGTTTTGACGTCGTTCACATAGGCACACCAGCGAGATATTGGCATTTATTCGCCCATTCTCTGATGTCATTATACTGCTTCTTTGCTTTCAGGTCTTTGTTTCTTAGATGTATTTGTTGGCTTGTGTTGACAATTTATGAATGGATGAATGCATTTTCATTCAAGTCTCTAATTTCATGTGAAATAAAACTACAAAAAAAAGAAGAAATTCTAAATTATTTTGGAAACTCTTAAACAATGTTAACCGATTGAACCGATCGTGTTCCGACATAACTTCTTTACTAGTCCAGGCACAGACCCACCGATTTAAAGAGAGCTGGCTGGTCGGGTCTAGAGCACGACTCACAGAGGAGTTGCCAATCAGAACATGTAGAAAATCTATCGAGTGATTTTTTTTTTCATTCTCAGATTCACAGTTAAAAACAATGTGGTCTGAAATTTTCTTATTAAGCATATGTGCAGCGTTAACGGTTAAAATTTGGTATGGGTTCAAGAAAAAGCGTGACATTAAATGATAATTCATAAGCGAAGCCTTCTAGAAACTGTGAAGAACAAATCCTATAATAGATAAAGGAATGCAGTCCAAGAAACCATTAGATTACGCAGCACTGCTGGAATGGTGCACTTTTTCTTTAGAAACCACAAATATGTATTATTTGTCACAATATTATTTTTCTCACGGAGACTTAATTTCTATTTATATTTGCAAGTATGAAATGCTTCTTATACAGTCTTGTTATTTTAGTTCAATCCACTTCTATCCAATTTTTTAAAGTTAGGATCCTTGTCCTCTATGATTTAATTTCAAATAGAATGTCCATCAGTTGTCTGAAATATTATATTAGAAATTTACTACGTGCTTTTTATTTTTCTCACCTGTACACCAGTTTTCTGGTATTGACATCATTGTTCCCATAATAGGCTTATGTAAGTTTTCCCATACAGTGTTAATCATTAATGGAACTTGAAAGGGCATAATGGAGATAAGTCTAGTAAATACTGTGATTTGTAAGTCTTCCAGTAAGAGGGAAGACCAAAATTGAAATTTTAAATTTATCCGATTTACTTACTTACTTACTTACGTACTTATGGAGCTGAGCCCTTCTTGAGGAGAAGTCAAATCTTCAGCTACTCAAAAATTTCCCAAAATATTATGGAACCCGAAGGTTCATTACCGTGTTCACAAGAGCCCTCCACTGGTCCCTATCCTGAGCCAGCTCAATCCAATCCATACCATCCAATCCTGTCTCTCTAAAATCCATTTTAATATTGTCCACCCACCTACGCCTTGATCTTCCCAGTGGAAATTCGTCCGATAACTTCATTAAATCGCCCTTAATATGTGCTATTCAGTTCGGAAAATATTTGTATATAATTTGCTGTAAACAAAAGTTAACGGAAGTTGGACAGCGCAGAAAAAACGCCGAGAAGCGAGCGAGAGCATCGACATTAAGAAAAAAAAAATAGGGTTGCTGAATTAAAACTTGGCATTGTAAAATGGCTTCCTTAATTTAATTCGCCCTGTGTACTTTCATGTGGAAAGAATATATAACGTGCGTCAGAGTGAAAAGAAACAGCACGTGGTCTGAAATGGATTTCTCTAGATCAATTTAGGTGTCTCACAGTTTAAGAAGTGTTGAGAACAGGAAAGTGTACATGTTCATCGCGTTTTGGCTGGCACGTATACCTCCAACCAAGTGGGCCCGTATTCAATTGTCGGCGTTAGCAGACGGGTTTGTGTTACGTGCATGAGGCTGTGACTGGACGTATTTCTTGGAGAGGGATCTGTTTTATCACTCTTTACGCCTTCTTAACGATAACAAACTACCATTAATTCAACTAATTAGCTTAAACGTGAAATATAAATCATTAGGTCCAATAAATATGAGTAAAACGATAAAGGATTGAAAAAATTATTTAAAATTCTTAAAATAGTTAAGATGAATATAATTTGTGTAGTCTGTGAAAAATTTCATCTCCATTCTCTCAAGAGCTGGCCAGGCTAACTTTGAACTAGCTTTCGGTAACCGGTATTTATTTTGCTAGACACTTCCGTTGATGACACTCAATTGTCACCATGCGTGACGTAGGAGAGATACAACTAAAAATTTCAGGATTCTGTGAACTTTGTTTTGCAGACCGGAACTGAACAACGCACGAGCTGCAAATAGCCTAGTCGAAATGAAAGAAATGAGTTAGTGGGGGTAGTTGAGGCTGACTGCTTTATATTTGAGAGCTTAATATTAAAATTAAAATTAATTCAATCTTCCGTTTTCTCTGAGGCCAGAATCAGTCTGGATCTTTGCGTGAAATACGTATTCTGGCGCGTTGTACGCAATCACGAGGTGAAGAGAACTGGCCATTAAGTTAAACGCCACCATTACTCTTCTTGCAGTACATCGCATTTTATTTTCTAATTCTCCGGTCTGTATGTTGAATTGAAATCATCTGTCCCATGTGAGGTTCTTCCTGAGTTTGCGTAGTCTTCCGAAAATAATTCCAAGATAACTGAACGTGACTATGTGTGAACTCAGATTCATCGTACTTACCTTCTGTTTCACCAGTTACAGAGAGTAGTCCAAAAGTCAGTTAAACTAAAAGATTCTGTAGTATTAAGGGGAATGGTCATATTTAAACCTGTCAGCCAATATGTAGAATGGTATCACGGCGTTTTGAGTTGTGCGTTGAACACGAGTATCTCATTTCGATCTATTTATGTAAATCCAGTGCGTAAAAAGAAATCTAGCTTAATTTAATGTACATTTTACTAATCAGTTAACTGGCTTTTAGGCCGAACTGCATATACTGTTTCTTATTTATGCGACACTATAACGTGAGCAGTTGATATGGCGTTGGTACATCAGTGAAATAAACGATGTTATTTTTATGTAATTTACCTGTGACTAGTGCAAATAATTGAGCTGAAGTAGACGCTTGAAAAACAGTTTCAACCTAGATGATTTCATGAACTTCCTGTACAGATTTGGCAAAAATTCTTTCCACTCATCATTCTCTGCTTATTAAAAGCAATGTTTTAAAAATCAAGATCGCGTAATAATGGATGTTAATTCTGACTTATCGCCTGAAGTCGCAATCACATAGTTATGCCTCCCGAGCTTAAATTTTACTCCGGAATTTAGTATTTTTATTGAAAGATGAATTCTAAAGAGAACACATAAAGCCCGCTTTCTTATTGTATAGATACCTGGTGTAACAAACCGCATGTTATTAATTTTATATTTAGGTTGACTTTGGTGTACAGTTCAACAGTAACAATTAGTTTATCTCATCGACTGAAGCGTTTGTCTTGTGCGTATATAGTCGTCTAATGGAATACTTCTGTATTCAGAATACTTTTCTAGCTCGTAATTTTAAGTATATTATTATTATTATTATTTTAATTGTTGTGAGTTATTTATTTTAATCAGACTACAGATTCTGTCTAGGCTATGTTGTCGGATATAACCTCAAACCTTCTGTACTCTGCACATGTTTGTTTATAGGTCTAAGGACTAATACAGACGGATAAGTAACTGTTAATTTCCGAAAAATATTTCATACATATAGTGGCAGGAATGCTTATAATTTATCTTCATACATGTTTCAATACCCCTGCTTCCACTACTCGCCACTATATTCTACAAAAGAAATTTTAATAGTGTAACATTATTCGAAAATACATTATCCTGCCTCATTTCAGTACTCCAAATTAAATGGCGCTAGTGTTGCTCCCGCCTCATACGTTCGTTCGTGCTTCCACCGTCTTTGTTACTGTTGATTATAGTTAATTACAAGATACAAGTTTAGAGTGGCTTCTCACGGCAAAAGTTCATACAGAGTTTCTCTAAAGTCAGTCAGCTATATTAAGAGTTAAAAGGAAGGGCACATATACACAGATTGCATGGAAACTTCATGAGCCCCCCCTCCCCAGAAACAAATTTAGACTGAAAGACCAGTTTAGATTTTTATCTATAAGCCTAATTCCATGTAAAACTAATAATTTCCAAGAAGGAAGTAATTTTCGAATAAGAATCAGATTAGTCTTAGCACGAATTCATGTCTTTTTGGGGAAAACAAAAAGAAATAATCTTTGTACTTTTAAATGTAATCAAATGCATTAAGTTTACTGTCCCTAAGAATTTAGCAGCTACATATGGCTGCTATTGAGATCCTGGGCTCAAAGAGGCCATGCAGTTTGCGAAATAATGATTTAACCTCCAACAACTTGTGACACATGTTTTGATACTCGAGAGGTAGTCGAACCTACACGGTTCAGTTTAGTCTGCAGAATGGTGAAGCTAATGGAAGCATGACGGAATTACTTTGTGCTTGTGTAGTGTTTTGTCCCGTTTCTCTTGGCGCCAGACAATTTTGTTTGCCTGGTTCTTTTTATCGAAAGTTATTTGTATTTCAGTTCACAGAGTTGGTACCTCTGCCAAAATGCCAAGCAAAATGAACATCGAAGAAGCATTGCTGTTCTACTTCGCTCGAATACGTCATATAGAACCATAATTTCTGACCCAAAATACTTTTCAGTTGCACAGATTACCGTGCAACAACATCGAGTCACTTAAATTGTGTGTCTGTTTGAATTATGCGGCAGTCAGAGGTGCTTGGAACTATTTTCTGCTGTGAAAAATGTACGGTAAGGTAAAAAAGTAAAGCTATGCCTATAACAGGCCGTGGAGGCCCATAGGGTTGTAAGATGTGGAGGCTCCTACATTTTCTAGACAATCGGCTCGTAGACGGCAGTGAGGTTATCCGCCTTACGCGCCGCCCCTCATTACCCCCCCCCCCCCCCCCCAGCCCCCCCCCTCCCCACCGCCT